ATCTTATTCAGTGTTCCATTCTTTTCTTTGTCACCACCCCACTGCCTCAGTTACCACTAGGTTGGGGCTTTTTGGCACTAACCACAAACAGATTTATACCACTCACAGATGTTCTGGGAACAGAATTGTTAACAAACCAATAAAATTTCAAGTAATTTTATTAAAATCAAAAACCAAGTATAGTCTTTTTTATGCATGCTATCAGGGTTGTGCACTGAAGCTAAGTTGCTGAGCACCTTTGGACAAGAAGTTTCATGTCAAAAGTCTTCTGCTGTGCTAATTAATAGGAAACTATTTTTCATGTATAATTATGTGTATCAATCAAAGGCACGTAATAATATTGCTCAGCTAAAATACTAAAGGGAAGAAACCTTTTGCCATCCAAAACCGCTTATTAATTTTCACAGCTTAGGCCAATGAAATAAAGAGTATCGCAACCAGCCAAGTCTTACGCTTGACAGGAGGTTGTACTGTGCCGTAATGCACAGGAATATCTTTTGATACAACCATTCGGAATATATCCCTGGTACAACGCAGATTAATATTAATCTAGTAGGACAGAAAATAATGTATCAGTGTGTCCTACCATATTTGACATATGAAACATTATCCATAAAAGATCGTAAGACATTGAAATCTAAGCATTCCAATGGCTTTAAACTTATTTTATTTAACATATGAAACCAGTAATATACATTTAAAATGCTGCAATTTTACAGCTTCGTCTATAATGGACTATTCAGTTATCCATTTTTCTCCATGCAGTGTCCTTTAGCACTGACAACTGATAAAAACTGAATATCCAATTCCTATCTTCCTCAAGAGCAATGATTCAGCATTTCTTATCTGAAGAGATCTATTGCTTCCGTAAAACCTTCATGCAGTGTATTTTAACACTGCTACTTGATACAAACTGAGTATCTGATTCCTGTCTTCCTACAGCAATGATTCAACATTTCTTACTTATCCGAAGAGACCTATTGCTTCCCCAAAATCTGATTCATTACAAAACAAGACTTCAGTACGTAAATTATACATAACAGCAATGAAAATGCCATCTAGTTGTCTATGATATAACACATTTCTTTTCTTCTTCTTTGTTGTTGTTGTTGTTGGCAGCCATCTGTCTCGGGAGGTAGGTGGGAGTGAAAGTGGAAGTTGCAGCGCGTGCTGTGGCTGTGGCAACCGACACGGGAGGGACATAATTTGTTGCAGCCGGCGGAGATGAAGGCACCCACAGGTGCTGCTGCTGCAGATACACTTGGGTGCTGCTCCTCCTGGAGGTCGTTCCTCTTGCTATGGTTACATAGCCTGACGGTCTGTCTTCACGATAACAGATCAGATATGCAGGATAAATCTGAGGCTTCTCAAATATGACAAAAATTGATGGGTCTGCCACATCATTCACGCAGCTGTCATAACAGTTGATCATGCCACTGGATTTTTCTGGGGGACGAGTATACGCTGCATTCCCCACAACAAAATCACCGACCAGAACCTGAGCTACAAACATTGCCTTCACCTTTGCATCCCGTGGACAGTAGTGGTGGGAATAGGATGCATCTCTGGCAAAGTAGCTTCCTAGGAAGAAGCAAGGGGCAGGGGTTCAAAATGTTAATTCCATACACATACAGTTGAGTGCTGTTAACAGAGCTGACACAGGTTTGGACAGCTGACACTTTATGCGGCTGAAGACATTTCAAACCACAAGCGTTTTTGATAAGTCTTTGGGAAAAAGTTAAAACCAAAAGGAAGTTAAATGAAAGCTTTCCCTGTGTGGAGCAATTAAAAACATAGACACTAGAAGTACTTGGTACTCCATGCAGTAATAGTCCCCAGATTTTAATAAATATTTTAACATTGAATTAATAGATTTGTAAGCTGCCTTGATATGGTTTGAGATGGTATATAAAATAAGGTGATATCTAAACAAGCCATACTCAGAGTAGATCCATTCCCAGTCAGGGCCATAGCTAGGGTGTGTGTGAGGTGGGTCCCCGCCAGGGACGGAGGTGCAAAATCAGCCAAAAATATGTCCATAAATAAAAATATTTATTATTGCTTCATAGGAAAAGGTTTGAAATAGAGGGTGAATTGAATAGGGGGGGGGGGGGGTTGGAGGAGAGGCAGAAAGAAGAGATAATTTGTCCCTGGCTGGGGGCGCAATCTGGATGGTTCTGCCAGGGGCGCAAGATCACCTAGCTATGGCTCTGTCTCAAAGAATGAAAACAATGAAGTTATTTGATTCCTTTGGTTTCCATGGGTCTATTCCGAGTACAACTAATGTTAGATTATCACCCATTTTAAATAAAGTGAATAAAAATACTAGTTGAAATTAGTCAGCTGGGCCAGTCCATGGTCAATGGCAACTGTATAGTAAAATATCTGAGCATTATGTGCTATATTTTAATATGAGGGAAATCATCGCATGAAGTGCTGAGTGAGTCCCTTCCATAACTCAATATACTGACAGATCCAACCCAATCCTGCGGCCGAATGAGCAGATTTTGTGCTGGCCTAGGTTGAAATTCTCACTCTTCCAGGAAGCTCACTAAAGGACCAGGGGTCGGCCAGTCACACTTACTCCACAGTTGTAGCGAGGATCCAAATGGCTAGCAGCCATGTACCTGCCGCAGTAGCTCACTGGTTACTTCAAGGCTGGATGGCTGAACTGCCCTGGACGTGACGCAGAAGCAGAAGCACGACTGCTGGTAGGAGGAGACCTTGTCAGCATCTAAGCCCTGTGCTCAGAGATCTGTGCTGCTGGCCACTTTGCTACTGGGCCAAGTTCAAGGTGTTGCTCTTAGTATATAAAGCCCTTAACAACTTGGGACTAGACTACCTATGAGCTTGCCTCACCCATACCTGCCCACTCAATGGCTTCTTGAGGTGAAACTGGCATTACTACAGGTGCCACATAGTGCTCATTCTGCACTGATAAGAGCATGGTTGCCTATTGGGCACTTTTTTCAGGGCCTGCTAAAAAGCTTTCTTGTTTAGACAAACCTACCCAGATGCTTAGAAAGTTCAGGTAATTTAAATCTGTTCTAGTATTTTAACTTTTGCATATTTTATAGTATGGTTGTGATTTTTTCTTGATTTTACAGTTTTATTTTTAGTAAAACATTTTCAGGCCTTTTACAATCAAGCGGTGTATAAATTTTATTTTTTTAAAAATGTACAGCCACCTGGCTTCTTGGAAGGATAGGATACTAAAAAAGTATTTTTGAAAGGCATTGTGAAGTGCAACGATGAGCTTGTTAAAGAAATCCTTCCTTTACACCACTGTTGGGGACTGTGATTACCAATCAACTCACTAGGGGACATTTAAAAAGAATCCCTTCTTTACCATAAGATGGAGCATGAGGTGGTAGAACAAGTCTGTGTCAGTCAGAGCCTTGAACAGACTATGGTTTTTTCTCACATAAAAGCTATGAAACCCACGTCTGATTGATAGGCGGCACTTTCCAACATACAGTTCCCTGAAGTATCCATTGGAATACTAAGTGTGAACGGTCCATTAACTGATTTGCCTCACATGCAGCCCACTATTCTAGTTCTGCATCTGACTGATTTTATTTTATAGAGGATGAGATCAAACTATGAAAAATAGTAAAATCAAACTATATAAAAATGAGGTGACTCTCGTTTAAATCCTGCATTTGTTTCAAGGCACCTCACACCACCAGTCCTTTGATGTAGGCTGGGAGACTAAACAATGGCTGTCCCAAGGGCAGCTCATCAGTCTCATGGTTGAACAGAGATAAGAACCAATCGTCTCTCCACCACAATGGCAGCTTATCCCAAAGTGTGACTTATCACATCAGTATGTTGTCCTTTCGACAAGGAACTGAGTGTGCCAAAACAGGACGCTCTCCCACTGCATCCTCACAACATCCATGTCAAGGAGGTGAGGCAGACAAACAATGACTGGGCCAAGGCTGAAACATGCAAGCTGGATGGAAAGAAGATGAACAGTACAACCCTCAACTGTCTCTTGTTACATTTTAGAGTGTAAACGTCTCTGGGCAGGGACCTGTCTTGTGCAACTCTACATGTCTTCTCAGAGCAACTTACTCCTATGTAAGAGCTTACAGGATTTGAATCTTCTTCTAGGAAGGGCTGGTGCTATGCTGTTTTTATAGTAATTACTTGTATAGTTTTAATATATTGGGGGGGGGGGAGGGAAAGAAATCTTTCAGTGCCTAATTGTTTCCCTCCCTAGGCTTTTAGCTGTTCTTATTTTTATCTGTAAGCCACTAAGAATCCCTGTCAGGGGAAAAGGTGGGGTATAAATTATAATGTAATGTAATAATATATCCTATCATATCATATTTTAAAACCAACAATAGGGCACACTGAACTCATAATTTAAGCCCTTTTAAAACCCACTTGTTTCAGTGAGAAAGACTGGTGTGTGCTAAGTGCCCCTGAAACCAATGGGACTTCACACCAGGTGGCGCCAGATGTTGCTCAGCTACAGGCCCTAACATTCCTGATCATTGCCCAGGGCTCAGGAGAGGGATGGCTCAGCCACCTGCTTTGCCATGCCACCTGAACAGGTCACAGGGCTCCCAGCCACCGCTGATGAAAGGGAGTTAAATTGGAAGAGAGGTGAAGTCAGCACTCGCATCACTCTCCTCTCTGTTTTTGGGGTGGAGGGTGAACTGTACGTTGACAGGTTTTTAATCATACCTGGCCATCACAACTCCAAAATCTGCTCTTTCAGATTTTAATTTCCTCAACTTTCACATCACAGACAGGAACAGATCCCTAAGGGAAATCATCATTGATCTAAAAAACATCCTTTCAAATGGGAAATACCCTTGTTTATCTCTCTCTTCCCTGGAAACTCCTGAAGCTTTTTAATTTCCGTTTTTAGCAGGCTTCTACAGTGAGCTTGCTGGTATCTTATTTAGCACTCTACATACCTTTTCCATAGGCTGTTCCATTGGTTCCACAGATTCTCCAATCAAAGTTGTCACTGCAGATGGCCTCCAAGCTAGAAGGATTAGTCCCATGGAACAGAAGTCTCTCATCCACTGTCTTTCCCCCATTTTTCTTCTTCATCTGTTCTTTTTGCCTAGAATGAAACAAACGTTTCTCACTTCCTGTTGACGTTTAGGCAGGCAGCAACCATTGCCCTCTGCTGGAGTGATGGGCCAAATCTGCCCCATGAATTTGGATCAAATGAGATTTGAAGGATTCCTAAACACTCTGGGAGTTTCCAGCTGGCCAGTTTCTATCAATGCCCTGGTCTCTCTGCGAAAGGTAGATGAGTCAAGCAGTAATCGCTCCTCAGGGCCATCTTCACCAGTTTAGTAGGGGAGATAACCAGAACAAATGGAAAGCGCCAAGGAAGTCCACCTGAGCATAGGTAAGAGCTCAGTACTGAGCTATCACGATGAGAGTAGACAGTACTTTGTTCATTTATTTTTTACACAACAACTGTCTCCCCCATAAATTCTTGACTGTAATACAATGACACTTTCACATATGTGTTTCATTCTGCCAGCAATATGAAAAGATTAGCATTTATGGTACAGTTTACAACCCCCCACCCTGCACTGTTATTATCATCTGCATTATTATCTCCATCATGACCTAGGAAAGTGTCAGCCCAGAGACGTCCTTGATAGGCATTGTGTTAATAACCTCACATGACGGATGCACTGATGTCAGACTGCGTGAAATGAAATGGCAAATGTTTGTGGAAACAGATTCTGAATTCTATGCCATATTCTGTGCTTTTCTTGCTTCTAGGGAACCACAGCACTGGAACTACATTTACTCTAAAGCAAGTGAGTTACGTTTTGTTGTTTACAGTGTGCCCATGTCTAGAACCAGGATTAGTGAGTTATCCAGTTTTGTCCTCAAAGCTTTTTTTTTTTTTTACCCAAGAAGGTGAAGGTGCTAAGATTTAAGAGTCCATGCCAAACTTCATATGATGCAGGCAAAGTTATCAGCACCAACGAGGTTGTACACATGAGGTGCATGAACAACCTGACGATAGTTGGACTATTGTAGTTAAAAAGAACAGAAGCAGTTAAAGTTTTAAGCTTCGCCCCTCTGCTGTTTGCCATTCAAAATTTAATTCCCCAAGTTGAGAGACGAAGATTTTGAATGAGCCACGCGGGAGAGAAATTGTTGGAATACTTTAAAACTCCTGATCATATGCTGCTTTTCAGTGATTAATCAGTGATTAAACATCTGGTTTGCACTGTTGACTAGGATAATGTGATAAAATAGAAACAAACCATTGGAAGATTTGCCAAAGGGACGGATTCTGAATTCTTTTTAGTTTATCGATGGCATAATTGCTCATTGTCTTTTGAAAAAGAGTCTCAATCTTAGTATATTCAGGAGACGTCTTGATGACTTCAACAGCCTAAAATGAAAGGTATCACAATGTGTTGAAGGTATTCCCATGGCCCCAGAGAAAACTGACTGCCTTCAATTTAAAAAAAAAAAATTATATTATTAAACAGTTATACATTATAGAAAATCCTAATGTGATACACAATATCATTTAATATATCAGTGGTTCCCAGTCTCCCACCCACCGATCAGCTGACAGAAATCTTCACTAAGAAATCCTCTACACAAGGTCTTGCTCCTTGTCAGTCACTGTTAGTTCAGATCCCACAAGTGTGTATGTTTGCGTTTGTCATTTTACTAAAGAAAAATGTAACTATCTTCTTTCTAGACATAGACCGCATTAATGACATGTACAAGTGTCAGCCTAGAAAAATTATATCCTTTCCTGCAGTAAATCAGTTACCTTGTACCCAATTGCAGGTAGTGCTGATTTATCCCAGGTGTTTGGATAGTCTGTGAATGGAGTAGACGCTGGAGCCTGATTTGTGTGGCTGGAGGGAAGAGAGAGAACATATTTGACTGCAGCTTCTTTTTCTCTAAATGCAGCAGCTCCTCATGGCTGCTGCCACTTGCAATAAGAAACTGTTTTATCTGTAAACATGACAGTTGACGTTATGTTTGATTTGTATATTGCTCTTTTTCACAATACAGTGGTACCTCCAGTTGCGCACGGGATCCATTCCGGAGCTCCGGTCGGATCCCGAGGAATTTGCAACCAGAGGTGCCTGTTCTGTGCAAGCGTGTGGCGCAGTAGAGCACTTCTGTGCATGTGTGCGGGGTGAGACCCGGAAAAATACTTCCGGGTTTGCCACGTTCACATCCTGAAGGATATGCAACCAGAGGTGTGCGTATCCAGAGGTACCACTGTACTCACTTATCACAAGTAATACATTTTGTCTTTAGCTGCAGGTGATTCTCCTGCTCATCAATACATGTACAAGTCATACCTCGGGTTGAAGTAGCTTCGGGTTGAGTGTTTTCAGGTTACGCTCCGCAGTGACCCGGAAGTAACGGAACGCATTACTTCTGGGTTTTGCCGCTCATACACGTGCAGACGCGGGTTGCGTTTGCTTCAGAATGCGAATGGGGCTCCGGAACGGATCCCGTTCGCATCCAGAGGTACCACCGTATATAGGAAATTTCCCATACTGAATGTTGTGTTGTATGTCAAGCAGTTGAGGGAGGGAGGGAGGGAGGAAGAAAGAAAGACAGAAAGAAAAGCGAGAGAAAGAGAGAGAGACAGAGAGAGAAAGAGAGAGAGAGAGAGAGAGAAGGTGCAATGCCAACACACAAGGATTTGTGGTCGTGTGGGGGCAGCCTGTCTCATCCAGGGTTCTTTATTTACCTCACATGTCTCATTCCAGGGACATCTTACCAAATCCTAGTTTGAGAAACTAGGCTCTAATCATCGTCTGGCACCATGGTCAGAAACCACACAAGCCAAACACTCTATGGTAGCATAAGGGAACTAAAAACAAGACAGCACATTTTCCCAAAGTATGTAATGAAATTATTCAGTCTCTCTGGGGTATAAGCACAGATAGATATATTTTCATACGCTGGATAGTCTGCTTTTTAAAGCAAAATTTGATAAAAATGTTGACTTTATACCCCTTCTTTGTCTTTACATCTTCAGAGGAAACAAACTTGGGGCGTCTCCGAACCTCTCTCTGGGTTTGATACTGCAAGTTTCTCTGTTTCATATCTTGAAAAAGAGGACACATGTTTTAATTCAGCAAGTCAGAGAACACAAGCCAACTTTCTGTTTTTCTAACAGTAAAGGGTGAAGCCGAGCAGCTGTTCTTTGGCCACCAAAAGCCAACTAAAAAGTCTTACACCTCCAAGGGAATTTGAGAGCAGAATGGCAGATTCTCTGTGCACCCTTGCAATTCTTCCTTTATGTATCATTTCTAAGCTTTAAGTGGGTATTTTCATAGTCGGCATTAAATGTTACGATGGAATACAAAGGTGGAGTTAGTCTCTTAGATGCTATGGAATTCTGGGAAACTTTGAATATACTGCAGGCCATTGTAGTTACAATACCTTTAAAGCTGATCTCGTATTGCTGGGAGCCAGCTTTGAACTGGACACTGCCCTCTGGAACTGCTAGAAATAAATTCTCCAAATCATCAGAACCTAAACTGGATTCCTGGAGTTGTCCACCCTGTAAAGGAAAAATGTGAAATGTGACAAGTAAAGCCACATGAAAGTCATTAGGATCAGCACAGCCAAGTGTTTTCCCAATTTAAAATGAAATGCTTATGTAATACCACTGGCATGCAAATACAAACACTGCTAAAACAGCTTACTGGATGCACATTAGTGCAAATGAAAATTAATCAAAGTACTGAAACTGACTTTAGAACTTGGAAACCAAGCCTTATGAGGAATGATTGAGGGAGTTGGGTATGTTTAGCCTGGAAAAGAGGAGATTGGGAGGAGATATGGTAGTCATCTTCAAATATCTAAAGGGCTATCACATGTAGGAAGGAGCATGCTTGTTTTCACCCGCTCCGCAGAGTAGGACTCAAACCAATGCATTCAAATTACAAAAAAGGAAATACCGACTCAACATCAGGAAGAACTTTCTGATAGTAAGAGCTGTTCAGCAGTGGAACAGACTCCCAGGAGAGATGGTGGACTCTCCTTCCTTGGAGGTTTTTAAGCAGAGGTTGGGGGGCCATCTGTCATGGATGCTTCAGCTGAGATTCCTGCATTGCAGGGGGTTGGACAAAATGACTCTCAGCCACCCTTTCCAACTCTGCAATTCTATGATTTCTATAATACATCAGGAGTAGAGAACCTGTTTCAGCCAGAGAACTGCATTTCTTTCTGGGCATTATATGCCACTTGTGGATGAGAGTCAGAGGCAAGAGTGAGCAAACAGGAGGATTCAATTTTACCTTTGTACAGTAGAATAGTTTCTACACGTACCCCACCCCTGTATCCTCCCTCCATCAAGGAATGCAAGAAAGATTATCAGAATTCAAAGTCACTCAAGGAATGTGCAAAGCAAGACCAGTGAGGCCTGGGCAGAGTCCCAAGAAGAAGAGGCCAGGAGGAGCACATTCAGCCCTCAGGCCTCTGCCTCCCATCCATTAACACAGATGCAGCTGGATAGCAGGCAAAAGACTATTTACACCGCAAGAGCTTTGCTTTTTCCAGCCACCCATAAAAAGTATATTTTCCAGCAGACTCTTATGTTCTTAAGCGACACAATTTTGGCAGATCAGGAAATGGGAAACAGCAATAATCGGAGAAAGGGGTTTGGGCTCAGGAGTGTCAAATGTTGGCAATTCTTACCATGGTCTAAGTGCAGGAATGTCAAAATTCCCTCCAGAACAGCTCGTAAGTGGTATGGGTTTTCCATAAACCTCATACCTTACTCCTGCATGTTTACCTTTGATTATGAAGCCTCCCAGAGAGAGAGGGGTGTGTGTGTGTATAAAATAAATTTATAAATTGAACCTTATCTTCAATGAAAAGAATCTACTGTGTTGTTAAAATGAAAGTAGGGATCATTTAAATACAACTGCCCTAGATGCACACAGGGCTTTTATAGTGAAATCCTCAAATAAAAAATATCTTGCAACAACAAATGGAATATACTGACAGCCCAGCTGTATAATTCTAAACCTTATTGTTGGGAAGGAAACCGTTAAGCACAGTGGGACATAGGATTATAGTGCAAAGGAGCATTTTTGCATAAGTTGTTGGGGGGGGGTCACTTATGATACCAAACAAATAGGAGCCTGGATCAAATGTTACTTTGTCTTCATTGTTTGCAAAAACTGGAGACTCTTAATGGGCTTGAGATTTATCTCCAAGAAGTAATGTCTGAAGAGGTCCAGAGACCCTGGCAGCAGGCATTCTGCACAATACCAGAGACAAACAGAATTCATACTGACCTGTGTCCCATATTCAGTCCACTGGCCCAGGTCATTCTTCCAGTACCAAAGCCACTTTGTTGTCATTACAAACTTAGGAGGTTTGGTGACAGATGATGGGGTGGACAGACGTCGAACATGGGACATAGAAGTGGTCATGGTGCTGAAATCGATGTATTCTGGATCTGAAATACTATGCGAATGTGAAAGAGGAAACATGTCTAATTGTAAATGGGTACAAACTTTACAGATACAATACTGCACATTCTAATTAGACAATTAATGATCTTCCAATATATATTATCATCATACCTTCTAACACCCAAGTTTTCTGCCATGATGGAACTGGCATGGAGAAGACAAAGGTAAGCCCATGGGGATATGCTCTTTATTTCCTGATCATTAGGACTGGGAATGTTCTGAATAAGTTATAAGAAGGTGTGAATCTGAACTTATTTCTGTGGTTTATTAGGCCATGGCAAAACGAGACGGTTGACATTAATTCTAAGACAGGAGACCCTCCACGTTGAACCATTTTTGAACCCTGGTACCAGCCTGTTCTCAAAACTATCCTAAAGGCATTATATTATTTATTACCGTATTTTTCGCTCCATTGGACGCACCGGACCATAGGACGCACCGGATCATAGGAGGGGGAGAACAGGGGAAAAGATTTTTTTTCTTGTTCTCCCCCTCCAAAACAAGGTGCGTTCAAGGTACATTCACCAGAGCTTGTGGGGCTGGCAGTGGGGGGAAGCGCTGCTCCGTCTCGCTGCTCTAGCTTGGGGAGGGCTGCGCGCAAACCTCTGCAGGGCAGCGGGGTGCCTTCACCCCGCTGTCCTGCAGAAGCTAGCAAGGCTGTTCCCAAGCCAGAACAGCGAGACGGAGGGCTCCGTCTCGCTGCTCTAGCTTGGGGACGGCTGCGCGCAGAACCTCTGCAGGGCAGCGGGGTGCCTTCACCCCGCTGTCCTGCAGAGGCTAGCAAGGCTGGTCCCAAGCCCGAACAGCGAGATGGAGTGCTCCGTCTCGCTGCTCTAGCTTGGGGAGGGCTGCGCGCAAACCTCTGCAGGGCAGCAGGGTGCCTTCACCCCGCTGTCCTGCAGAAGCTAGCAAGGCTGTTCTCAAGCCAGAACAGCGAGACGGAGCGCTCCGCAGTGCTCCGTCTTCCTGTTCTGGCTTTGGGCTTAGCGGCGCAGCCTGCATTCGCTCTATAGGACGCACACACATTTCCCCTTAGTTTTTGGAGGGGGAAATGTGCGTCCTATAGAACGAAAAATACGGTAAGTTTGTGTACCGCCCTATACTCATAGATCTCAGGACAGTTCACAACATTCAGGAAATGCCTCATGCCATACAAATTAAGTTCCCAAGTACAACCTCCCACTTGAATAGGAGGCTATCAAGACAAAGGCAAGGAACAGACAAAAAGAGGACAAGGCTCAGTTAATCATTTACTAAGATCACAGTTTTTCACTGTTAAAGCAAAACACCAGAGTGGGATGGCCAGTTTTAGTCATTTTCTCCTTAAGAAATTAAGAGTTCTTCCAAACTCTTAATTTGCAAGATGGAGATGGACAAGGTGAAAAATGAGCAGAATTTACTCATTTGAAAGCCCCTCCCTTCCCTATTAAAAGGCAGCTAAAAATATTACTAAAACTTTCCTGTAGCCAGTAGCTATTTTAGCTCCTATTCCAGCTCCAAAGAAAAGAACTCTCTTCTTCTCAGTACTCTCAAGAACAGCACACACCCACTCTGCCTTAAGGATAGGTATATTCTTCCCTTTCCATTTCTTGCTCTTAGTATGGGTCCTGCTAGCAAAACCGTCACACCTACGTTTCTGTAGGCTTTTTAAAATAATCTTTCACTTTTCATAACAAGGGCTGGGTGGGCATGTATTGTAGGAGTTGCTGCCTGCTTAAATTGTAATTTTATATATTCTGTCACTGCTATTTCATATAATAAATCAAGCTTTCTTTATTCCTTTGGTGTGATATGTTCTTGTGGGCATTAAGGTTATGGGTTAACACATATTCATAACAAACACGTCGCAATTCCAGCAAAAGTTCCTAAACTTCTTTGTAGTACCGTATTTTTTGCTCTATAAGCCTCACTTTTTCCCTCCTGAAAAGTAAGGGGAAATGTGTGTGTGCGTCTTATGGAGCGAATGCAGGCTGCGCAGCTATCCCAGAAGCCAAAACAGCAAGAGGGATTGTTGCTTTCACTGCGCAGCGATCCCTCTTGCTGTTCTGGCTTCTGAGATCCAGAATTTTTTTTCTCTTGTGTTCCTCCTCCAAAAACTAGGTGCGTCTTGTGGTCTGGTACGTCTTATAGAGCAAAAAATATGGTATGCGGGTTCATAGCACATACTGTAACAATGTACCCCAAGGCAAGTAGCTGGTCTTCCAACTTTGCCCTGTCACTGGACCCCTGTGGTTTCTTAAAGCAAAAAGTGCCTTTTCTCAAAATAACCAGATTCTCTCCTACAAGCTCTGCAGCCTCGTGCAATGACACTACAGAGGATGCTTCCTCTTATTCTCCTACACCAGGATTCTTAACGGGGGCTCAACCTGTACATAGTAGTCAGCGCTCACATTTTCCACTCTTGGTCACACCCTCCCAACATGTTTTATCAAGCAAGAAATAACGAACATTTCCCCAAGGCTTCATTCCATCTGTTCATGAACTGAGGAGGGGAAAGAGTCCATAATTTTAATGGTAGGTTTATTGTAGCTGAGAGACAGAATAACAACAGGAAAACCCCCAGAAACCCAGACGACAAAAGTCAGAGATTGATGTGCATTATAGTGAGTGAAATAAGTATTTGAACCCCTATCAACCAGCCAGATGTCAGGCTACCTGGTATCTTCACTGTATGTAAAGAGCCGAGATTAGAAGCACCTGCTGTAAGGGAGAGGTCTTAGCTGTAACCCCAGCTCGTTATAGTACCTGTACAAAACACACCTGTCGACAGAAGCAATCAATCCAGCAGATTCCAAAGTAGCCATCATGACCAAGACCAAAGAGCTGTCCAAGGATGTCAGAGACAAGACTGCACAAGGCTGGACTGGGCTACAAGACTATTGCCAAGCAGCTTGGTGAGAATGTGGTGCAATAATTCACAAATGGAAGAAACACAAAATAACTGTCAACCTACCTTGGTCTGGGGCTCCATGCAAGATCTCATCTCGTGGAGTTGCAATGATCAAGAGAAAGGTGATGAAGCAGCCCAGAACTACACGGGGGGAACTTGTCAATGATCTCAGGGCAGCTGGGACCATATTCACCATGAAAACAGCTGGTAACACACTATGCCACGAAGGACTGAGATCTTGCAGAGCCCGCAAGGTCCCCTTGCTCAAGACAGCACATGTACAGGCCCGTCTGCAGTTTGCCATTGCACATCTGAACGACCCAGAGGAGAACTGGGTGAAAGTGTTGCGGTCAGATGAGACCAAAATCGAGCTCTTTGTCATCAACTCAACTCTCCGTGTTTGGAGGAGGAGGAATGCTGCCCCGACCCCAAGAACACCATCATCAAACATGGAGAGAACTCCATCAAACATGGAAGGGGACATATTACGCTTTGGGGTGTTTTTCTGCTAAGGGGACAGGGCACCTTCACCGCATCAAAGGGACGATGGACAGGACCATGTATCATCAAATCTTGGGTGAGCACTTCCTTCCCTCAGCCAGGGCATTGAAAATGGGTCGAGGATGGGTATTCCAGCATGACAGTGACCCAAAACACACAGCCAAGGCAACAAAGGAGTGGCTCAAGAAGAAACACATTAAGGTCCTGGAGTGGCCTAGCCAGTCTCCAGACCTAAATCCCATTGAAAATCTGTGGAAGGAGCTGAAGGTTCAAGTAGCTACACATCAGCCGCGAAATCTTACTGACTTGGAGATGATCTGCAAAGAGGAATGGGACAAAATACCTCCTGAGATGTGTGAAAACCTGGTGGCCACCTACAAGAAACGTCTGACCTCGGGGGCCGCTAGGGGCGCCTTGGAAGATGGCGGATAATAACATCTATCCAGCTCGCACGAGGTAATTAGAGACTAATTATGGGGAGTAAATCAGTCTCCCTCATCTTTCCAGGGAAGGGAAAGATGCAGTTTTCACCCGCGGTTGCCATAAATCACCCCCGAGTTTGGAAGAAGGAGGGGATGAGAGGCACTGGGTGCATAACCCTCAGCGGGTCTCGGAACTCCTCCGAAGCTGCTTCCAGGAGCGAAACTAGTTGCGTTACTTAAAAGGAAAAAATTTGGAGAAAGTTAACTCACATGCTTCGAGAGAGGCAGGAGGTTTTTATCTGCTAATAATTTTACCACCGAGATGAAGAAGATTGAGACGGAAGATTACATCAAAGTACTACAGACATGCTGGTATGTGGAATGGAACGGAACGGAAAGGAAAGGGGGGGGAATGACTTTTTATTTTTTGTTTCATGTGATTACCTAACAACCCTCCCCCTCAGAAGATCCGTCGCAACAACTAATTGGCAAATGGGATTAAAAATGAACTGTGTGGGAATAATATGAATTTAAAGGTTTTACTCTGTCAAGGATTTGGAAAGAAGAAAGGCTCTCTTTGTGACGCAGCAAGAATTGAGATATGATATGGAAGGACAGACCTTTGTTGCAGGGGGTTTGGTCTTGGGGAGGACGAGCCGAAGATTTGTTATCTGGATGGGATTGTGAACTGGAAGGGGCAGCCCTCCTGGAAAAGACTAATTTACGATGCAACAGGTCGGGAAAGTTAACAAGCGGGCTTTTAGACTGTATTTCATTGGAATGGCAAGATGGCGATTGCTTGCTCAAGCGGAAATGCCTGGATTATTGGATGAGAGTGATTTACGAGAGAGCAGTACAAAGCCCACACAGTAACACAAATACGACTGTTTTTTTCAACCCACTTGCAGAGTAATTCGGAGGTGAATGAAAAGGAAAATGAGTAACGACAAGGATTGAGAAGAGGGGACTGTAAATATGAAAGCAGCAGAAATATTGGAGGACCGGACTCCTGCCGATCAAGAAGCATGGGTACACCCCACAAAAAATTATAATTTGGAAAACAATTGGATTATATGATGTGTATTGTTATAATTTGGATTAATTGGTTTGATGTGTTTAATTTGGTAATATGGAAACTTAATAAAAATTATTTTTAAAAAAGAAAAGAAACGTCTGACCTCTGTAATTGCCAACAAGGGTTTTGCCATCAAGTACTAAGTCATCTTTTGCAAAGGGATCAAATACTTATTTCACTCATTATAATGCACATCAATCTCTGACTTTTGTCTTCTGGATTTCTGGGAGTTTTCCTGTTGTTATTCTGTCTCTCACAGCAACAATAAACCTATCACTAAAATTATGGACTGGTCATTTCTTCGTCAGAGGGCAAATGGGCAAATTTAGCAGGGGATCAAATACTGCCCCCCCCTCCCTGTAGATAGCTTCCTTCCAAGCCACTCGCCCTCAGCGAGAGACTCTTTTCCCCTTCATCCCCCCCCCTTTTGGGGGTGGGCAGGGAGTGTTTCCAGGCAAGCCCTCCCACCACTCCTCCTCCATTGTAGCAACTGCCCACTCAGCTTAAGCATGTCTGTGGGACCAGCTGACTGGCAGAGGTCTGCACATATCTGTGGAATACCAAGACCAGCTTTATACCTGGTAATACTTGGGTCAGAATAAGCTTTTTCTATTTCCTCTCTTCGGGGCAAATCCTTCCAACCATTTGCAGTCTGTACCTGCCATCGATAAGGCATATCGTAATGAATCATGTTACAGTTAGCTGCAAAGAGAACAAGCAAAAGTGAGTCACTGGTTGCTTCAACTGATATGCAAGGTGATAAAACAAAACTAATCAGAGTCCAACTTCTGCATGTCTGTAAAACATTGTATGTTTTAAATCTTCCTTAACAAAATGCTGAAAGTGGCTAACACAGCTGCTATTAAAAGCCATAAAAAGCCAAATTATGCTAAAAAGAGAAAACACAAACATATGAGCAAAGAAGCAGAATCAGCAAATGTATACCCAAGAGCACGGGTGACAAATTGAATAAAATACTGGGTATTTTATCCAAGTACGCCCCACCCCACATAATCGATCACAAGACGCGGCACACACAAATGAAGGAGATGGAAAGTTGATGAAGGACCTGTGGCAGAAGCAGAGAAGAGAAGCTCTCCCTGGGGGGGAGGATGGGAGAAGCAAGGGACGTTCCCAGGCGAGAGCTGGGAGGGTTCACCTTTCTCTGTGGGGGACAAGTTAAGATTTATATGCAAAAGAGGACATTGTATTTTCACTTTCTTTTTAATGCTTTTGTTTAGCATAAACAAACCATTTTTGATTGTAATGTATTATGAAAAAAGTATCAAAATGTGTATTATAGGTTAAGATGCATATACATTTATTTTTTAGTAAATGTATACAAAATATATTTTGTAAAAAAAGTGAATTTATATGTCTTCTTATTTTTGACATTGACATTTTGACATTGATGTGGAAACAGGACAGCAGACTTACAAATGAGCACGTGAACTGATGCAGAGCAGAAGGTCTGGACACAGATCCAACCCTTGTTTATTTTTGTAGGAAATGCCACAGTGTGGATGCCACTATATAGAAACTCGTACCGTTTTATTTGAGTAAATAACAGAACATCAAGCAGAGCCTCTCACCCCCTTTCTCAGGGAACAGGGCAGAGTATCAGAGCAGAGTCAAAGAACATTCATGGTCTGAATGACAAGGCACCATTGTCCTGAACTGGAAGCAAGACTTGAGTCAAGACTCAAAAGCAAACAAGTGACTTAAACCTAGGGCTATACGTGCCTTCCATCTCACACTGATCACAGTAATCTAGCCGGAGGATTCCAAGGATGGTAGTTAGACAGATTCTTATCTGAGAAGATGCACTACAACCAGAGCTGGTAAAGAGGTGCTCCTAGTCCCCGCTGCCAGTGAAGATCAGGCAGCAAGACAGGGCCAGGAAGCAGCTGCTTCAGGAGGCTGATCTCATCCATGACAAGCAAAAACACGGACTCCTCATTCCTAAGGCAGCCTGCCATCAGCAGTTAGGTCTTGCTCAGGTTAAGCTTCCACTGAATAGCCCGTAACAGTACCCGGTCACTCGTTCAATGGCAGCATCACTACTCAATTAAGATAAAAATAAAAAATAGGGTGGGCAGCCCAGGCTTACACCCCAGGAGTGTAACACAGCAGTGTGACTTAACCCCCCCCCCCCCCGGCACACACTCCATTGAGCCTTGAGGCAGACAGATGCCAACAACATTTACAAATCAATACCTGGCATATCCTTTCATCAGACAAATAATATGACTATCAAATGTGATGGTTGGGGGAGCAGAGAGCTCCAGCCCCCCTCTCCGTCCCAGCATTCCAGTTTCTTTGACACCCTCACCCCTCGTTCTGATACACTGGATCCTGTTGCTGCACCCAAGGCCATTTCTTGAGTGGGCAAATGGGGCAGGTGGAAGCAATGTAAGCAAAGTTGGCAAAGCAAATTAAAGCATTATTACTCCTGGGGAAGGCCTAAATGGAAACCTGGCCTTGGACTTGTCTGTTGGGACTTACTTTTATTTTTGCAGAACCGCCAGACATAGAAAAGACATATCTCATCACTTTTCTCCTTCTCTGCGTTCTGAGGTGGTTTAGTGTAAGGAGTGGCTTTGACACCTGTAAAAGATGGACAGGGGGAGAAATAAAGGAACACAATCTTTAGTAAACCTTGCTTAAGAAGAATCATGTGATAAAACATGCAAAGAGGTATCAATATGTGCCTTGCTTTGGAAGGCAACTATGCTCACCACTATACCTTGTTTGGATTTCTTAGTTTATTGTTATATGTATTTTATAAAAATTCTGAATAAAAAATTTCATTTTTTGAAAAAGGCACACACTTCTCTGAAGTCTCTCAGCCCCACTCACCTCAGAGTGTTTGTTGTGGGGGGGGGGAGGGAAAGGAGAATGTTAGCCGCTTTGAGACTCCTTCGGGTAGTGATAAAGCGGGATATCAAATCCAAATCCAAACACCGACAAAGAGCAGCCAGCAACACTGTCAGTTCAGGATAAGGCTAATGCAAATTAGGAGTACAGGGAATCAACCCTAAATTATGCTACAAGGCACAATGCATTGTTCCTAATTTTAAGACTGACAGAGTGTGATCCACCACAATCTTACCTGAAGTGGGCATGGCACCAGGGGCACCTTTTTCTCCCCCCCCCCCCGGGAACTGTGTTGGGGTTGGGTGAGTGAGGGATCCCAAATAGAATTAAATCAGCATCAAACTAGTTTAAATAATTCTTTGAGAGGCAACAACAGCTACATTGTTATAAAACTGATATAAGTTGGTATTATTAATAAATTTTAATATTATATACTGCCCTTCACCCGAAGATCACAGAGCAGTTTACAATATAAAAACACAAAAATACAAACCATAATAACAAACAAAAACAATACCCACCCCTCGCCACACAGAGAGTTGAAAAGCCATAGATTGTTTAATTAGCCAAAGGGCAGGAGAAGAGGAGTGTTTTTGCCTGGCGCCTAAAGATATGCAACGAAGGTGCCAGGCCAGGCATTCCACAAGGAGGCCCGTCTCATATTGCTGCCCTCCAGATCTCTTGCCAAGGAGGTACACAAGGAAGGTTGCAGGGTCTGGGTCAGTTCACATGCAACAGAAGTTGTTCATTGTGTGTGAGAGAAAGATATATACCAAATATGTGGTGGCAGCAGTAGTCATATGTAACCGCTTACCAGTCCAGAATAGTACCATCCACATGTAACATGGACACATCGGCAGGCTTTGAGAACCCACCACTACCACCATTATGCGGGGGAGAACTGAGGACTCATAGAATGCTGGATGGGGTTGGTGGAAAAGATTAAAGTAGAGCAAAACATGGCTGTCAAATATTATTTATTTGTGCAGCCAAACCCATTACAATGGCTGTGACAAAATGACAAAATTGGAGCAGTAGCACTCAGCACTGTAACATACTGTGGCAGTTTGTGTATGCAATCTACGCTGTTTGTGGGATATATTACAGTGGTACAGTGGTACCTCGGGTTACATATGCTTCAGGTTACAGACTCTGCTAACACAGAAATATTACCTCAGATTAAGAACTTTGCTTTAGGATGAGAACAGAAATCGTGCAGCGGCAGCGGGAGGCTAAAGTGGTGCTTCAGGTTAAAAACAGTTTCAGGTTAAGAACAGACCTCCAGAATGAATTAAGTTCTTAACCCGAGGTACCACTGTACCTCGGTTCTCGAATGTAATCTGTTCTGGAAGACCATTTGACTTCCGAGGTGCATTCGAAAATGGAAGCCATTATAGTCATACCTTGGATCTCGAACGTTTTGCCTCCTGAATGCCACAAACCTGGAAGTGAGTGTTCCAGTTTGCAAACATTCTTTGGAACCCGAACGTCCAATGCCGCTTCCGTAGATTCCGACTGACTGCAGGAGCTTCCTGCAGCCAATCAGAAGCTGCACCTTGGTTTCCAAACATTTTGGAAGTCGAACAGACTTCCGGAATGAATTCTGTTCGACTTCTGAGGTACGGCTGTACTTCTGGGTTTTTGGCATTCAAAAACTGAAACGTTTGGCTTCCGAGACACTCAAAAATTGAGGTACCACTGTATATTCTGCCATTCCCCAAATTATCTGAGTTTATTGGCACATACCTATGAAAACATCAGCGTTACCCAAATTTCTGGCAACTGCTGAAAAATGTAGTTGGTAATTGATCAATGTAAGTTTAAAAGGGGACTCATACTGCATATTGGGGCTAAAGCTCATCCCTGTATCTTGCCATGAGAATGCAGATATTCTATCTTAGGCCTAATTCAATCAACTTGGATCCTTTGCTAAGAAAGTAAATTGGTTCACCTTGGTCAGGGCCGAGGTTGAGGTCCATGAGATTAGGTATACTAGATGCTTGCTCAAGTCTGGCTACTTTCGGATTTCCTGCACTTGATTTTTCTCCACTTGATGCAGGTCTTGCAAAATTACCTAAAAGAATGGGAAAGGGCTTCAAATGATGAGGAGAAATGAGGTCCTTTCACACGCCAGAGTGATGCAAGCAGTACATGATGCCCACAAGCCCCTTCCTATAAATCACTCACCCTTGCGAGGACCCAGTTCTCTGGACAGTACAGCAGTTTTGTGTTCGCAGATTGTCTGGATGTTCCAGGCCACTTGATCATCCACTCCCCCTTCGAGCAACAGCTTCAGAGCATTTGGTTGCAAAAGGTTGTGAGACCTCTTGCACTTAGGAAACCTACATTCCCCTCTCAGGAAATACCGGCAAATGTGAAGCTTTGTGCAATTATCTTGCTGGGCACAATTCCCATCCCCTTTATTGTAGAAATTGCATACCTGGAAACAGGAAGTGAAAGTAAGAAACACACAAGAATTTCAATTAATACTGCACTGGTCTGAATTGCATGTAATGTGGACAAATACACCGGTTTTGGTAATATCCTTAGCAGCTGTATCACATACAGAAGCTGAAGACTTCCTGCTTATGATTGCAAAGAAATATTTTTAAAATGTGTAGACAGTAGGGCCGGGAGATATCTGGTTGTCAGCATCACAGTATTAGGGCTGGGCGATTTCAGCTTTTCAACGCCAGCCAAACATTGTGGTCTGACGATATGCCACAATGTTGAAAAAACAAGCTGCATTGGCCTCAGCCTGCAAGGCGCTGGGTGAAATTGCCACAGCCCTCACCGCAGGAGCTGAGGCTGTTTCACCTCCGTGCCTAGTGGGCTGTGGGACAACACAGCTTGTTTGTACGGCTTAGGTGGGGCATGGGAGGGCTCCTGATCCCCAGCCGAGTCTCCTTGTGGGGAGAGCAACGGGGCTCCTTTTTGCGGCTCTGCCAGGGATGGGGAGGGCTCTGTATCCCCAGCAGAGCCGTCCCCGCTGCTCCCCCCACTTCTGCGGGAGGCAGTGCTGGGCTCGGTGAGCCCTTAACTGTTCGGCTGAGGGGAGCGGCAACCACACTCTCCTCAGCCGCCGAGCAGATTAAAGATGCAGAGGGAGGAACAAGCTGTATTGGCGCCTCACCGGTGCACTTTTTTCTCCCTCTGCATGGTATGAGGGCAGAGTGGGATGGCAGTTTCACTCAGCGATATATTGCTTGTGAAACCGCCACCTCTCATGAGACCCTCTGCTAGCAACACTCGCTGGAGCAAGTCGCTAGCAAAGGGACTCAGGAGCAGTGGTGGTTTCACCAGCAATACACCGCTGAGTGAAGCTGACACTGTGGTCTGCTCCTCATACCGGTCCTGGGCGATATACCCAGACATACATGATACCATACCAGGTAACATTGTGCTATACTGATATATCACGATGACTGAAGTATGGATGGAGTTATGTAGAGGCATTGGCTGGCTTCAGTTTTTCCCGCGACATGGTTTTTGCATAGCACACCTACACACCATGATTTGCAATGAACTGTCAGGTCGAAAATTCTGAAACCAGTATGGTGATATGAACTTCAAACTGGTTTGGGGCGATATATTGATACCCAGCCCTAGTAGGTAGCATCCAGTGATATTATAGAATATATAGCAGGGAGAGCACAGGGTGATATTTGAAAAACACAGCAAGCATAATTGCAGATCAGCTGAACTCTTCTCTTCAACATGCCAATTTTGCATTTGGAGTTCCCTTCTTCCTATGGAAAAAGTGTTCAAGCAATTAATCAGGCAACAGAAACTCCACATAAGGAAGAAGGCATGTGGCAGGGGTTATACTGACTGCATATTAGTCTGCAATTTGATTACAAACCCAAACTGTAGTAGCAGCAAGAGGAGGCCTCTTCAGAATTCGGGAGGGAGAGAATACACCTTGTGGCTGAGGACTCGGCCTTCCCCTCTCTTGTGTGTGCATACATGTGCCTACAGAGAGTACCCTCTTCAAGGGGCACTGAAGACAGTGGAGATTTTTACTGTTTGCTGTGAACATGCTGTTAGTTAGTTATTTCCACAAATTATGGCAAAATATTCTATGTTTGGATATTTGGGCCATCTGATTTTTTCCCTGAAAGAAATGTTATGATCTTGCTGAGTCACAAAAAATAAACCAGGCAAAGTTTCAGAAAAGGACAATTAAAATGATCAACAAGATGGAGAGACTCCACTTGGGCCTTTTCATTGTAAAGGAGAGTAAAGAGGAGACACAACAGAGGTGAATAAACCGTTGCCTGGTATGGACAGAGGACAGAGAGGCTTTTCTCCTTCTCTCATAACACTAAAACTCATGAACGCCCCAAAACTCTGAGTGTTCGAAGATTTAGGACAAACAAAAGATAGTGAAGGATATAGTTAACAGGGGAATTTGGTCCTACAAGAAGCAGTGAGGCCAGCAACTTGGAAGGCTTTTACTTACTTTTAAATTTAAATTTCTACACTGTCCTTCTGAGGATCGCACAGTGGTTTTCAATATAGAATCATAGAGTCATAGAGTTGGAAGAGACCACAAGGGCCATCGAGTCCAACCCCCTGCCAAGCAGGAAACACCATCAGAGCACTCCTGACATATGGTTGTCAAGCCTCTGCTTAAAGACCTCCAAAGAAGGAGACTCCACCACACTCCTTGGCAGCAAATTCCACTGTCAAACAGCTCTTACTGTCAGGAAGTTCTTCCTAATGTTTAGGTGGAATCTTCTTTCTTGTAGTTTGGATCCATTGCTCCGTGTCCGCTTCTCTGGAGCAGCAGAAAACAACCTTTCTCCCTCCTCTATGTGACATCCTTTTATATATTTGAACATGGCTATCATATCACCCCTTAACCTCCTCTTCTCCAGGCTAAACATGCCCAGCTCCCTTAGCCGTTCCTCATAAGGCATTGTTTCCAGGCCTTTGACCATTTTGGTTGCCCTCCTCTGGACACGTTCCAGTTTGTCAGTGTCCTTCTTGAACTGTGGTGCCCAGAACTGGACACGGTACTCCAGGTGAGGTCTGACCAGAGCAGAATACAGTGGCACTATTACTTCCCTTGATCTAGATGCTATACTCCTATTGATGCAGCCCAGAATTGCATTGGCTTTTTTAGCTGCCGCGTCACACTGTTGGCTCATGTCAAGTTTGTGGTCAACCAAGACTCCTATAAATGTGTTATGTGGCTATAAATGTGGCTATAATATAATAATACACACCATGGTAACAAACAAAAACAAGCCTGGGAGTGGCATAACTTTAAGAGAGGATTAGACAGATTCACGGAGGATGAGGTGAGCAAGAGCCACGAGCCACAATGGCTCTGCTTTGCCTCTCCTGTCAGGGGCAGCATTCCTCCAGATGCTGAGAATCGCAAGTGAGGAGAATGCTGTTTGGCTGAAGTCCTTCTTCCGGGTTTCCCATAAGCATCTGCTTGGCCGCTGGGAAAACAGGATGGTGGACTAGATGGCCTGATCTAGAAGGCTCTTCTTATGCTTATAAGTAATGTGTCACCTGCGTCAATGAATTTTGACCATGTTACACATGCACATATTTTGTAGTGAAGGTTCTTGACACATGAGTAGGACAGAAACGCGATTAAACAAATGTCGCTAACCCTGTCTCATCTAACTTCATAATGCAGAAACTCTACTACAATTTTCTTGTCATCATCCATTCTGTTTCCTCACCTTAACCAGTTAAAAAGGCAACCTATAGGCGAGGGCAAACAAACATCTCGGTGATGCTACAGTATTTTCATAACTTACATCAGGCCAGAGAAAATGATCATTTTGGAGGAGGAGAACACGCAGTTCATTCTCATTGAGCCCAGAAAGTTCATGAGCCTTCAGGACTTTTCGGTTAGCCTCTGAAAAAACTTCATGAGAATACTTGCATGCCCTAGGATAAAAGTAAAAGGAGAAAAACCATAATCAAGGTATCAGAAATACCTGGGAATACACATGTGGAGTGAGAGCCTACATATTCCAAGGACCCTTCACTTTTTGTAGGCTACAAATCCTGAACTTGTACAATAACCTGAGTTCCTTGAAATAATGTACTATTAAAAAAATTGTATTATCTATTCTGTTCTATTGAACACATTTTCCAAATTCTTGCATACTCTACACCAAGGATGGGAAAATTTTGGCCTGTAGATATTTTTGGACTCCCAACAGCCCCAGGAAGCTTGACCAATAGTCAGGAACGATGGGAGTTGTGGAAAAAGGCATCTTAAAGGCCATAGATTCCCTACTTTAAAGTGACCAAGAAACAAAATGCCAAGGTGACGTAAAACATTTGAAGATCCTCAGCATGGCAAACATCAATAATGGCAGAGAGAATGCTTAGCTTGTGCCACAACCTTCTCCTTGAGTGCCTCGTTTATGAGAATAGTTGCCACTCACTCTTGCAGCTGAAGGCAAAGCACTGCCTGGGGGTCTATTGCTGTGGGGAGGGAAGAGCCTGCTCTCCACCACTGTGTGGTCAGCACTGCACAGAACTGCACAAGGTTGCTCCAACATGCAAATCCTCCTCCTAGATACACACATCAGTCGCCACACTGATAAGGCTGGTAAATTAGTAATCGCACTGAATACCTTCCACCCAATTCTCATGCTGTGAGATTTCAGCTTAAGGTACCATTTCAGTGTCTGCACCTAATGCATTAGTTCTGGCAGATTCCAATCCATTGAGTCTACTCTTGGTTCTCCTTTTGGAATCTGATTCAAGGCCCAAACAATTCAGGAGCTGAATTTTTGCTCCTAGAAACAAATTCTGCTCAGTGTTTATTCTGAGGAACCGAGGTCAAAGTCTGACTGACAGGATACTTTACAAGAACAACACAAGAGATTAGTGACGATGGTATTTAAAAGCACAAGCAAACAGCTCAAGACTTTAAAAAACCACCTTCTTCACACTGTATCAAGGGACCACTTGTTATAGAATTGCTACAACCTGACTGTTTAGATCAGGTATGGGAAGCCTGTGCTTTTACAGAATGTTGTTAGACTCCAGTTCCCACCATCCCTGACTATTGACCATGCTTGCTGGGGCTGATGGGACTGGAGTCCAACAACATCTGGGTCACAGGTTCACCAGCCAGCCATGGTTTAACTGCATGATCTCTCTGCTTTGTCTTTCAACCCCTCAGGCTATGTTGTGTTTTTCTCATTCTAGTCTTAAATTAAGGAAGTGGGGAGGATTTCCCAGTGCTTCTTTAGGACAATAGAATGTATAACATTGCTTGGACGGATCAGCAGAGGGAGACTCATGAAATCTTCCTTGCAGGACTGGTTATATAGGTAAAAAAAATTGAAAAGGCTTTTGTACAAAGCAAATCAACCCTGGACCAACAATATTATGAGTCACACAAAATCTTCACCTCAGAAAAAATGAGGAAAAATTCATTAACACTGACTACAAGGGCTTGTGTAGTTTGTGCCTTTGAGTTGCACTCATGAAAAAATACAAGTGGGGAAAAAACAGTTGTTACCTAGTAGTCACCCAGACAGCTAAACTTCTGTTGCTGGAAGCACACAGGAATTTGAAACTGTATTTGGAATCCCATGCAATGCTGACACTAGAAAATCTGACACTGTTTTCAGTAGTACCAAATACTTCAAATAATCCTTTGTTTTGCTCTTCATTAATATTATTCTCCTTCTTTAGACTCCATCATTTTAACCTCACATATACATCCTTAACAGTTTTCCAGATGCACCCCAATTCCTCCCCCCGCCCCCCATACCCATTACTTACTGAAAACATATGAGATATGCTCTTGACTGTATTTGGGTTATTATCATTGTAAAACCTTCTGATGTTAAGACTGTATAAAATTAATTGTTTTCAAATAAAAAGAAAGAAAAAGGGGGGAAAATCTGACACTGGTGCCGAAGGACTGGACATCCCTTTCTGCTTCAGGGCAAAATTATCTAAATACAATTCATATAGAATTTACTAGTAGTACTTCTACTGTGGCATATCCAGGGTTCTTATATGTTGCAATTCCGCAGGTGTACATAAAAGTATAGAATGTGGTAGTGGGCAAAGAATTCAGTTCTCTTGAGAACTTCACTTTGCATTTCTTCTCTCAAAACCCTCACAAAACTCAGGTGTTCAGCACTTTATAGTCGTTTAGATACTCTCAAAGGAAGTGTGCAGGCCACTGTTTCTCAAAATTGGGTTGCCAGCTGTTGTTGAACTATACACCCATTATTCCTGATCACAGGTCCTGCTAGCTAGGGATGATGGGAGTTGTAGTCAAACAACAGCTGGAGACTCACGTTTGATAAACACTGGTAGGCAATGTCTGCTGAAATCTGAGAAGCCAGAGTTCACTCAGTAAAAAAAAAGTCAGCAATTTGGTGTATCCTCAAAGTTGGAGGATTTTCTTGTCACAAATCAGTTTGCCTAGGCACATTTGTGTTTGCGGTGAGCAAGGAGGGGGACTGACAGACCAAGCCACAAGCTTTCCCTTTGTGAGATGCTGATTTCCCTGCTATTCAGTTTATCATTGTGCCATAACAACAGATTCTCTCATTCCTTCACACTCACCACCTGCCACAAGCCGGCCTGAAGCACCTGCCCTTGATGTAGTTCTTGCAGATATGGAGGTTTTCACACCCCCCACAGCTGTTCCTCAGGCAGAGCCGCGCCGGGGACACCGCCAGCACCTGGCGCAAGGAGTCCCGGGGGACAACCAGAAACTTTTCCTTCCCTGCATCCTGCAGGATCTCCTCTAGCTGGTGCTCAGGCAGCCCCGAGAGGGAGGGGAGCTCACGGAAGCCCAAGCCCCCTCCTTTAGAGCAAAGGATCTTTGTGATGAAACTGCACACAACGGCGTCGGACATGTTCCTTCTCTGATCTGCCTTCCTTTGTACTTAAAAGGCTTGTTTAGTTTCCAGCACAGATTAGGCTCCACCTTTCCCAGCCCAGCTCACACGAGAATCGAAACTTAAGCCAAACGCAGCAGCTCCCTAGCAACAAAACATCTGTATACTCTGCCCTTCTGTTCCTTCCTGTTAGTTCTGTTTGCCTTCAGTTTCAGTTCTCATGTGACTTGGGGGCAGCAGGATTCACAAATGATGAATCATCAGACCTATAAGCATAATTATCAACTATTTTGAATGTTAAATGAAGGGTCGAGTATTATATGCAGGAGTGCCAAAGCAGAGTACAGTGGTACCTCGGGTTAAGTACTTAATTCGTTCTGGAGGTCCGTTCTTAACCTGAAACTGTTCTTAACCTGAAGCACCACTTTAGATAATGGGGCCTCCTGCTGCCGCCACACAATTTCTGTTCTCATCCTGAAGCAAAGTTCTTAACCCGAGGTACTATTTCTGGGTTAGCGGAGTCTGTAACCTGAAGCGTCTGTAACCCAAGGTACCACTGTACATGTCCAGCTCCAACAGGCTTGATTTTACAATTTAAGACACATTTCCAACCACACTAGACCTTAAAAGCACCTGCCTCCCACACAAAGAATCCTGGGAATTATGGTTGCTATGGGTGTTGGGAATTGTAGCTCTGAGTTCCCTGGATACCATATTTACTTGAATTTAATGCGCACCGTTTTTGGCCAAATTATGTCATGAAAATTAGGGTGCACTTTAGATTTGATGGCGCCAGCAAATACTTTTTTGGTTTCAAGGTTTTGAAATTTGAGGTGTGCATTAGATTCGATGGCCCATTAGCTTCACATAAACACAGTACTTTAAATGTAATGTGTGCATGCAATCTTATTTTGCCTAGTCGGCATCTTCCACCCTCAGGGCTAAACTAAATAGCCCAAACACTTGATTTATAAAGCACCTTATACTGTACCGCACAACTGATTAGTGACCACGGCATGGCATTATTTTTCAGGATAGAGGATTGTTTCTGAGTGGGTATGGATAAACATTACAAGTTGCAACTCTCAACTATTGTCAAGAGCATTTGACCCCCATTTTAATCTAGTTCCAGAAAGGCATTTACTGGAAGCACTTTCAAATCCCTTGGATTTCAGTAAGATGCTAAAATCCCTTAACTTGTGGGTGGCTTGATCTCATCATTATAGCACTGTTGGCTCTCATTATCTACAGAAGATATTTAATATTTTAAAGAAACATAAATGGTTAGAAAGGAGAACACCATGGGGGGGGGAGTTAAGCACTTTTAACTTTCTGAGATTTAAGTACAGGATTAACTCTTCGTAACAGTGGAATCCAAAGCACTTGGATTTAATCATTTATTGCATTTACATTCCACCAGGGGCATAGCCAGGATTTTTGTTGGGGGGGGGCTTTTGTTAGGCAGGCGGAACCTCAGATTTGATTCTGTCCCCCTGCGCCCCCCCCCGCTACGCCCATCCCCCCACCTTTTCCTCCAAGGAGTTTCAGATGATGCGCTTGGTCCTTTGCCTCCTCCTCACCGCCTTGTGACCGTTGGCTGAAGGGAGGGCATATAAATTTTAATAACAACACCATGTGAGGCTGAGCCGCCCAGCTGGGTGGGGATCTGGCCTCCCAAGTCCTACCCCAAACCACCTTTATTTAGTGTTAAGACAATAAGCGTTTTAAATAAAGCAAGAGACCCATCAGGCATCTGGTATGGCCAGGGCCGGATTTATGCATATGCTAAACAAGCTATAGCTTAGGGTTCCACTCTCTTGGGGCCCCCCAAAGAACTTATGGGGGGGCCTGGATGTACATTTCCAAAAATAAGATTAAAAAGAAAATAAAGCCTCCATCCAGCAACAGCGTTTTGTGTTGTGTGGGCTCCTAGGATGTAAGTCCTGGGCCTCCGCCTGCCAGGCTGCTCCCTCCACTATCCCATCTCAAGGGCCCCCTTCCCTGCCCCGGGTCTGGCGCATGACCGTGGTCTCCCCACCCAAGAGAACTTTCTCCGACGCCCTGGTGGAGATGCTGGAGACCCCTCACCTGGCTCGGCAGCGGCCCTTGAGGTTGAGCTTGCAGAGGTGGAGCTGCGGGCAGCCGGGACACTCCTTGCGCACGCAGAGGCGCAGCGGGGAGACGGCCAGCACCCAAGTGGCGGCTCCCTCCGCGCGCACCAGAAACCTCTCCTGGCCCGCCTCCTCCAGGATCTGGCGCAGCTGCTCCTCGGGGAGCGCCAGCTGCTGCCCCAGCGCCGCTCGCTCCAGGCGGCCCCCGTGCGCGCACAGCAGCTTGGCCAGGAAGCCCGACACCGCCGGGTCCGACATGCTGGCCCGCGCGCCCGCCGCGCTCCGCCAGGAAACGAAAGCGAAGGCAGCCGGGGGCGGGGCGGAGGCGGAGACCCGCGGGGAGGGCGCACGTGGGAAGGCGGGCCGCTCCCGGAATGCGAACTCGCGAGCAAACTTTGTCCTCTGGGCCAGCCTCTCACCACCAGCATTTGCGAGGGCAGGCCTGCCTTTTTTACGGAGAAGAAATACATTGGAAAGCAAAAGCAGCAACAGCTCGCCGTGCCCCCCCCCCCCCGTTTAAGATTTGGCATTGGTGGGGAGGCGAAGGAGAAGATCTTTCCCGTTCCATGGTACTCAATTGTAGGCTCTGTCAAAACCCCAGAAAGAGATTTTTGCAACAGATGTTGGCACCGCTACAAAAACACAACCCTGAAGTGGAAATATGTTGGCTGTTAACTGACCGCGACCTGCTTGTCACATATAAAACAGCCTTATTTGCAAAAACCGCTAAAAGTATTTGTGTTAGCTACATAAAAGACAATGCTGTAGATTGTGGATTCATTAATTTGATTTTCTTGTAAATGGAGGTATATTTCTGGATTTATTTTAATAGCTTTTATTCGACTTGCAGTACCTGTAACTGGATTTGTAATGGCTTTTAGTCAAATACAATAAATGATTGATTGATGATACTTGATTTATAACATAGAACCAAACTACTTTAAAATATTCTTACAGATGGGGGTGGGTCTAAACCCTAGAAATAAATGGTAGCATGGAGAAGAAAAGCTGCAGGGAAATTCCTGGGCTAGCCTCTGCCAAAGACCAGGTCAAGCCGGGGTCATTAAGCAACAATACAGGGCCGTTGAGAGTCATTGACAAGAGAAATGTCCTCCCCCCGGCCTGGAGGTGTGAACAGAGACAGGGCATTTAAAAAAAAATATTTTTAATTGAATTTTAATTCTTTTATTATTATCACAATTACATCATACCAAACAGTAACAAATTGAGTTCCCCGCTCCCCCCATGACTTCCCTCAACTTCCCCGTCTGGTTTTTTACATAAAAACTTGTCCTGCTTGCAATACTATACTTCAGTATTATATCCTTAAATTAAATGTTTTTATATTCTTATCATTTTAACCTCATCTTTATAGCTTCTATGTTTGCATTGTTAATTGTAAGTGTTTACTCAAACCCTGCTAGTGAGTCCATTTCTTTACATTGATTCCATAGATACAGCATAAACGGTTCCCAATCTTCTCTGAAATCTCTGTTGTCTTTGTCTCAAAGTCTTTCAGTTAACTTCGCCATTTCAGCATATTCCATCAGTTTTTCTTGCCATTGTTCTTTGGTTGGTATTTCATCATTTTTCCATCTTTGGGCTAGTAAAATCCTAGCCACTGTCGTAGCATACATGAACAGTTTTTTCTTCTCTTTTGGCGTATCTTGACCTGAAATGCCTAATAAAAAGGCTTCTGGTCTTTTAATAAATGTTATCTTAAACATTCTTTTCATTTCATTATAAATCATTTCCCAATACCTTTTAATTATTTTACAATTCCACCACATATGAAAGAACATGCCTTCTTTTTCTTTACACTTCCAACACTTATTGGAGCCTGTTCTATACATTTTTGCAATTTTAGCAGGTGTAACATACCATCGATACATCATCTTCATGTAATTCTCTCTTAACAATATACAATCGGTAAATTTTAAATTTACTTTCCATAATTTTTCCGTCTTCCATTTGAATATTATGCCCCAAATCTTGTGCCCACTTGATCATTACCCTTTGACCTCTTCATCTTTAGTTTCCCATTCTAATTGTATATTAAACACTTTCTTCAGAAGTTAGTGTTATCATCTATTATTTCTCTTTGGAATCTAGATATGGTATAGCTAAATCCTTTCTTATTATCTTCTTTAAAAACCTCATTTAATTGACAATGTTGTAGCCAGTCATAAACATATTCTCTTCTCTCGTCCAAATCCTTAAGCTTTAGCTTTCCTTCTCTCTCTATCAACAGCTCTCTATATGTAGGCCATCTTCCTTCCATATTTATTCTTTTAACTGAAATTGCTTCTGTTGGGGATACCCACCATGGCGTTTTTTGTTCTAATAAATCTTTATATTTTCCCCATACTTTTACCAATGATTTCCTAATTATATGATTATGGAATCCTTTATGTACCTTCCCTTTATTACAGGCATAGGCAAACTCGGCCCTCCAGATGTTTTTTTTTTTTTTTTAATAATTTTATTAAAGTTTTAAACAAAAAAAAAAAGAAAAAACAACACACAGAGAAAAACAATACAAAATTTAACAATAAAAACACAAAACATAACAATTTAAAACAAACTCTCTTTTCCATTCCCAATTTTAAATTACTTATTTTCTGGACTTCCTCATACCTCCCTCTTTTGTATTCCAATCTACATTATTTGTCCAGCAGTTTCTTTTCCACTTTTTAAACCCAATCTTTAATTTAATAAAATATTAAAATATATAACTTCAACTTTTTTTTAAACATAATCCTTGTTCTTAATGTCATATACCTTTAAATTTTTCCCTTTTATTATCAAATTTCCATTTCTTTAAATATCTTTAATCTTGATCTTAAATCTTAATCTATCCTTAACTTTAACCTGTACAGCTGGAAACCACTTATTTTCAATCCAACATCACTCTAACATTCCTTAATTTTGCAATGTTTCTGAAGATAGTCTTTGAATTTCTTCCAGTCTTCCTCCATCGACTCTTCTCCCTGGTCACGGATTCTGCCAGTCATTTCCGCCAATTCCATATAGTCCATAAGTTTCATCTGCCATTCCTCCAGCGTGGGAAGTTCTTGTGTCTTCCAATACTTTGCGATGAGTATTCTTGCTGCTGTTGTTGCATACATAAAGAAAGTTCTATCCTTTTTTAACACCATTTGGCCCACTATGCCCAGGAGAAAGGCCTCTGGTTTCTTGGGAAAGGTATACTTAAATACCTTTTTTAATTCATTATATATCATTTCCCAGAAAGCCTTAATCTTTGCTCGGCCCTCCAGATGTTTTGGGACTTCAACTCCCATCATCCCTGACCACTGGTCCTGTTAGCTAGGGATAATGGGAGTTGTAGTCCCAAAACATCTGGAGAGCCAAATTTGCCTGTGCCTGACTTTATTATACCATAAATATGCATGCCATCCAAATCTGTTGCCATGTCCTTCCAGATCTAACAAATCTATGTTTTCTAATTTGATCCAGTTCCGGATCCAAGTAACACAACCTGCTTTATAGTAAAATTTGAAATCTGGCAGGGAGAATCCTCCTCTCTTTTTATTATCTGTAAGTATTTTGTATTTTACCCTTAGTTTCTTCCCTTTCATGATAAGTTTAGAAATATATTTTTGCCATTTCTTGAAGCATACCATGTTACTTATTACCGGTATTGTGTGGAATAAAAATAACATTTTTGGCAATGTGTTCATTTTAATTGCTGCAATTCTTTCTAATAGAGATAAATTCATTCTTCCCCATATTTCTAGGTTCCTTTTAACTTCATTCCGACATTTTTCATAGAATCATAGAGTTGGAAGAGACCACAAGGGCCATCGAGTCCAACCCCCTGCCAAGCAGGAAACACCATCAGAGCACTCCTGACATATGGTTGTCAAGCCTCTGCTTAAAGACCTCCAAAGAAGGAGACTCCACCACACTCCTTGGCAGCAAATTCCACTGTCGAACAGCTCTTACTGTCAGGACGTTCTTCCTAATGTTTAGGTGGAATCTTCTTTCTTGTAGTTTGGATCCATGGCTCCGTGTCCGCTTCTCTGGAGCAGCAGAAAACAACCTTTCTCCCTCCTCTATGTGACATCCTTTTATATATTTGAACATGGCTATCATATCACCCCTTAACCTCCTCTTCTCCAGGCTAAACATGCCCAGCTCCCTTAGCCGTTCCTCATAAGGCATCGTTTCCAGGCCTTTGACCATTTTGGTTGCCCTCCTCTGGACACGTTCCAGTTTGTCAGTGTCCTTCTTGAACTGTGGTGCCCAGAACTGGACACAGTACTCCAGGTGAGGTCTGACCAGAGCAGAAAACAGTGGCACTATTACTTCCCTTGATCTAGATGCTATACTCCTATTGATGCAGCCCAGAATTGCATTGGCTTTTTGAGCTGCCACGTCACACTGTTGGCTCATGTCAAGTTTGTGGTCAACCAAGACTCCTAGATCCTTTTCACATGTACTGCTCTCAAGCCAGGTGTCACCCATCTTGTATTTGTGCCTCTCATTTTTTTGCCCAAGTGCAATACTTTACATTTCTCCCTGTTAAAATTCATCTTGTTTGTTTTGGCCCAGTTCTCTAATCTGTCAAGGTCGTTTTGAAGTGTGATCCTGTCCTCTGGGGTGTTAGCCACCCCTCCCAGTTTGGTGTCATCTGCAAATTTGATCAGGATGCCCTTGAGTCCATCATCCAAGTCGTTGATAAAGATGTTGAATAAGACCGGGCCCAAGACAGAACCCTGTGGCACTCCACTAGTCACTCTTCTCCAGGATGAAGAGGAACCATTGATCAGCACCCTTTGGGTTCGGTCAGTCAGCCAGTTACAAATCCACTGAGTGGTAGCATAGTCAAGACCGCATTTTACCAGCTTCTTTACAAGAATATCATGGGGCACCTTGTCAAATGCCTTGCTGAAATCAAGGTAGGCTACATCCACTGCGTTCCCTTCATCTACCAGGCTTGTAATTCTGTCAAAAACGAGATCAGGTTAGTCTGACATGACTTATTTTTCAGAAATCCATGCTGACTATTGGTGATCACAGCATTCCTTTCTAGGTGCTCACAGACTGTTTGCTTAATGATCTGCTCCAGAATCTTCCCTGGTATTGATGTCAGACTGACTGGGCGGTAATTATTTGGGTCCTCTCTTTTCCCCTTTTTGAAAATAGGGACAACATTTGCCCTCCTCCAGTCTGCCGGGACTTCGCCTGTTCTCCAGGAATTCTCAAAGATGACTGCCAGTGGTTCTGAGATCACATCTTCCAGTTCTTTTAAAACTCTTGGATGCAGTTCATCTGGCCCTGGA